GCTCTATGACACATTTCTTCTGCCTCCATATCCTCCGTCGCTTCTGATTTATTAGCTCTTTTCCCTCTTTGAGGCATTTTAGCAGTTGTAAGTATGCTCAAAGACTTGAAATATAGAACAGACAAGAGGAGCAGTAAAGACGTCTGCTCTCGCTTGCAAACCCGGAAGTTCATTATGAACTTATGAACTATTACAATGCATCTCCGTGATCTGGACACAAGCGGACAGTTGAGACACCTTTCAATATACGTGCCTCCAAGGTTCCCAGCTGACCACTTGTGTTCACTACTGTTGTGACACTTCAGCTTAAATATGAAATGGCCACAGGCACAATTAACAAATCAGTCTGTTACCACAAGAGAATGTGAAGTTGTTGTCATGCCATGTAGAATTTTGAGTAAATGCACCATTTTGAAAGATCATCCTCATTATCCATCATATACACTACATACATCTATAAGTTAATTTAAAAAATAATTAGGCTACTATCCCATAAACATACAGTAGCAGATGTTTCAGCCTGGTCCTCTTTGGTGTTCAGTTTGAGTGCACACAGGACTGAACTGGAGTCATCTGCAGTGTTTGTATCATCTGCCAACAGTGGCTAGCTAGCGTTAGCTTCCCAACTGAGAACTGAGATCAGGATGCAGTCATTTTTCAGTCTGTTGTTCTTGTCGACAGGATCTCTAGGCCCACGACGAGTTAGCTACAGTCAGCCGAGATTACCCATTTTGAATTACCACAGTCATTAAAATGAGATCTAAATAATTTAAGTAACCTTTTAGCCAAACAAAACAAGAATGTATGCAGGTCAATACAGCACATATCTCCCAAAATGGCACCCCCGTCCCAACATTCAACATGGCGTGATGTTCCTTCACATTTTCTTTAGCCCCCATAACCATACACGAAGATTAAAAGTATCAGATTTGTACATGGATGCATTTTGAAAGCTTTTGCAGTACAGTGATAGATTTGTATTGTATGTTTCTCTCAATTTTTCCTTTTGTGAGCGTTGGCGCACTCTCACCAAAACAACCACCATGTCCTCCATTGATGAAGTATTTTCCTTGAATATCCTTGTCAGAGATGCATCAAAATGCATTAGCATTTACACTACAAACAATATGTGGTCAAAACTGTCCCAGACCATCTCGGCAAGTGGTTCAACGACTGGATCACAGTTCATCTTGGTGGTTGCTTACACTTGTTTTTAGTGCTGTCCACTTGTGATCTGATCACCCAGATGCATTTTAAAACCAAGTCTAAACAGCGTCTAAGTGGCACATAGATTGATAGGCATCATTATTCTACAGTGAACCACAATGGAAGTACAGATGACAGCAAGTGAGTGTAGCTCCACTTAGCATCACTCACCAATGAGCTGAAACTCTGCTGAAGATGAAGCATCAGACTGAACTTTACCTTGTTAACTTATGGCTGTCAGACCTCTGACTCCAGCTGCCATTCTCCCTCCGACATCTCCCCGTCCTTGGGCAGTGTCAGGTAATGACTGAGAAGAGCAATTTTGAGGTGTCTGTTAATGTGGAGTCCTGCACTTCTAATCTCCTTACAGCTAATCAGGTCTGTAATAGGCTGAGAGCTCTCCAACCCCCATTCACCAGCTGGACCATCAGCCGGA